TTATTATTATTATTATTATTATTATTATTATTATTATTATTATTATTATTATGGATCATCGCACAGTCAGCCAGATGTTCAGACTGGATTTGGCATTTTGTCTACCTATCGAGTCCTTTCCCAGGACCTGGGATAGGCAGATGTGGATGTTTGATGGTATTACAGATATCGTCGCAGGATGGAAGCAGTTCCTAGTAAGACCGCCTTTTGCAATTGACTAATAGCGAATTTGTCAATGTTGTTGTTGTTGTTGTTATTATTATTATTATTATTATTTAGTAGTAGTAGTAGTAGTAGTAGTAGTAGTAGTAGTAGTAGTAGTAGTAGTAGTATATGGCATTGTTACATTACCCAAGAGACTACAGTGCAATTGCAGAGTAGTAGTTTGACTCACTGGAGAAGGGCCTAATGCTGGGAAAGATGGAGGGCAAGAGAAGAAGGGGACGACAGAGAATGAGGTGGCTGGATGAAGTCAGTGAAGCAGTAGGCGTGAGCTTCAATGGACTCCAGAAGATGGTAAAGGACAGAAAGGTCTGGAGGAACGTTTTCCATGGGGTCGCGATGGGTCAGACACGACTTCGCAACTAACAACAACAACAAAGTATCTGGCTGCCAAAGTACCAGTTCTGTTGTAGGAAACGCTAGCACACTTCCCATGGTGCACCCCTAGAGGGCGATCTGGCTTTGCACCAGAAAGACAGACAAGCGTCTCTTCCTGCAGTGTCATCCAAAGCCCCCTCCCTCCCTGGAACCGCACCACAACCCGGAAGGTTCAGGGGGCAGGAATCTGACTGCCTGCACCGAGCAGCAGCTCATTCCACCCTCTGAAGTGGTACCTATTTTATCTACTCACACAGAACGTGCTTTCGAACTGTTAGGTGGACAGAAGCTGAGGTGAGTGACAGGAGCTCACCCCGACAGGCAATGCTAGGACTCAAACCACTGGAGCAGAAATCATCTCCAGTGTCTTTAAGACACTGAGCCACGTATAACTTGCCCTAATAAATATGAACTGCCTCTTTACTATGGATCTAATTTCTAGTTTCACATTTTTACCACTCTACCCCAGCGGTGTCCATCTCAACTGTCTGTACCAAAGACAGCTTTGGAGCCAAAGCTGTCCAGCTTATATGTCTTTGTCTGCGTTTAATTCTTGTTTCCATCGTGATCTTTTTTTCCTTGCAACCATTGATGTTTGGGGGATGTACTTTCTGTAATGATAAAGCCCAACCTCTAAAATCTCAGTCTACTAATTGATCACAACCACGATCGTTAGGATTATCACTCCAAGCAACCTACCTTTGCAATCTGTGGAATGTTTGGCAGCTTGCTGAGTCCAGCTAAAGGGATTCTTTCGTGTAATGTTTTTACTTTGGACCTATGGGAGGCCAAAAGAGAGAGAGAATCAGACATAATCGGTGACAGTGTAGCAATATTGCTAGGTTCCATTAAAACGAAAGATCGGTAGATTGTTTTGAACCTTTCAGAGAGGTTTCATTTGGACATGGTTGTTACGGTTACCATCTCCAGTTCCCGTTTCCTTTGAAACATCAGTAATTTGTTGGGGGAATAAGAGGATAAGACATTACGGACAGAAGAAACGGTGCTATATATAATTGATATTTTCCAATATCTTTTCAAAGGATTGTTTTCTTACGGATTTCCTTGGGCTTTACTGTAGGTCAAGCAAACAATGTTCATTGCCAAACTCATTACCAAAGAACAAACTTAAAGCGCTGTTAAATAATTTTTAAAACCCAAAGAAACTCAGATCCATCATTAAACGGCTACAGAACATCCTGTTGTCCTCACTTCATCTCTCTCATGTAGCAAAAACTTTTGGACTCCATGGAAACTTCAGCACACCCAAAGGGTCCTCAACGATGCGCTGTCATCTTTTAATATACAGTATCATCTCGTTGTCAATCCAAATCAACCCCACTGAACAAGGCTGATGAGAACAGCCCCCAAGGATTTGCATCAGTGAGGAAAAGCCATGGGTCAACCGACTGAGAGGGAGACGTTTACTCAATCTTGGAAACTTGAAAATGTGTGGACTTCAACTCCTAGAATTCCCTAGCCCTGCATCATCCACGTATCCAAGTCTACACAGCTTCAAGTTGCTAAGGTTGACAAACACAGGTCTATGGCAATTTGCCAAGGCCAACTCACTGTGGCCACCTCGCCGCGGCCAACCCACCGCAGCCAACTTGCCCCAGCCAACTCGGCACAGGACAAGAGTTACACTAAACTTCTTGACAGTTAGAACAATTAACCAGTGGAACAATCTGCCTCCAGAAGCGGGGAATGCTCCAACACTGGAAGTTTTTAAGAAGAGATTGGACAGCCATTTGTCCGAAATGGTATAGGGTTTCCTGCCTGAGCAGGGGGTTGGACTAGTGAATTAGTGCAGTTCTTAAGTTAGTAACACGGTTGTTAAGTGAACCTTGGCTTCCCCATTGACTTTGCTTGTCAGAAGGTCACAAAAGGGGATCACATGACTCCAGGACACTGCAACCATATGAGTCAGTCACCAAGCCTTTTGATCATGTGACCATGGGGCTACTGCAATAGTCATAAGTGTGAAAAATGATCATAAGTCACTTTTTTTCAGTGCCGTTGTAAATTCAAATGATTACTTAATGAACTGATGTAAGTCAAGGTCTACCTGTATTAGACACCATTAAAAAGAAATAAATAATGTTATAATTCAGCTCAGTGTAAGAATTTAATGCCAGTGACAATATGTCCTCTAGGTTGTTGGGATTAAACTCCCAGAATTCAAGTCATAATGGCTGATCTTGACCGGGAATTATTTAGCTGTACTACACAAACTTCAACCAGCAAAAGTTAAGATTTCTCTGTCCAATCATGTCCCACTCATCTACATTTCTTGGCCGAGGGCACCAGAGTTATCCAAAGACAATTTCCATGGTCATCTGGCCAGCATAGCTATAGGCCAAAGGCACGGGGAACACTCTCACCTTCCCACCAAAGTGGTACCTATTGATCTACTTGTATTTGCATGCTTTCGAGCTGCGAGGTGGGCAGGAGCTGGGGCAAGGAACGGGAGCTCACCCCCGTCA